TTACCTGTACTATTTTGGGGTTTCCTTATTATAAGTATCGTATAATGCGCAAAAAAGCCCTATTCTAATTATTAAGGCCCCTATAGTGGGCCTGGCAAAGATAACCAGCCAGGGTGTGATTTCGTCCGTGGTAGTTGCCATGTTTCGTGCCCAAAGCTTCGAAGCGCACGAGGCTGAGTTCGAGCAGGCGACTACACTCCTCCTAGCCCAGCCCAAGACAGGGCCGAAACCTCAGCAAGCCCGGAAAGGCCCAGGCCGGAGACCACCCGGCCCGCGGAGGCCGACGACCGAGACCCAGTCTCCTGGCCCAACTTGCCCTTCCTTCAAAGGAGCCACCCTGCCAGAGAAGGCATAATCCAGCTGTGCCCACCAGGCCAGCGGAAAGGTATGCCGCAGCCTTGAAATCATGGATCTGATGCCTCCTCGACAAGAAGAATCCTAAGACTCCTAAGACCTAAACCGTGAACCTAAAAAGCATTGCAACTGGCAACCCTCAGCCTAAACCTGAAAACTGGAAACTCGAAGCCCGAAGCCAAAAGATTAAAATCTCAAAATCTCTGGACCTTAAACCCTAAACTCCTAGACACCCTACACCCTAAACCCTACACTCCCAGAATCCCAAAATCTTAAACTCCTACAAACCCTAAGCCCTAAACAAGTCTACTGTTGATGATATAAATCCTGCATTACCTTAAAGACCCTAAACTATGGGAATTATGGTATACTCCTTTTTATAGGCAATGCGGGGTTTATATCATCAAGCATAGAAGTGCTAAGCCTTGCCATGACAAAACCCCCAAACTCGTGGTCCTGGGTAGTACTAGGGAGACCCCTTAAAGGGGGCCCTTCCTGACACTACTTCTGGCTCTCTTAAAAGGGACCTTTATTGAGAGGGTCTGTATCCCCAAGGGTCTCCGTAATCCTAACTGCGACCTAGATCGCCCAGAGCTGCACCCTGCTGGGCCTAAACCCTAAACCCTGAACCCCAAACCCTAACCCTAAACCGTAAACCCTAAGCCCTAAACCCCCCGAGGTCGAGGTTTACTCGAGGAGGCGCTGGCGTTTGCATTTAGGTCTTCAGGGGGATCCCAAAAGCCTACTGCTTTAAGGGTTCTACTCTCTACTTAAGGGGTCATAACCTACGATTTTGTGGGATTTGGTGTCACAGGTAGGGTTTAGGGGTTTCAGGGGCCCCGGGCCTTCTTCAGGCGTCAGGCTTCAGGGTATAGGGTTCAGGGTTCAGGGTTTAGGGGTTTGGGGTTTAGGGTTTCGGGTTTACGGGTTTCTACGGCCTCTTATGCTGGGATCTCTCATATGATTTCAGGTGCAGCTCTTAATCGAGGGACATTCGGAAGTTCGCGGGCCGCTGCGCTTTGGAGTTTCTGGTCTCAGGGCTTCAGAGCTTTGAGCTTAGCCCCGAAACCCCAAAACCCCCAAAACCCCCTAAACCCCTGAACCCCAAACCCTAAACTTTCAGGGTTTTGGGTTTAGAGATTTATAGGGTTTAGGGTTTAGGGGTTTAGGGTTTAGCGCCTAAACCCTAAATTCCCCAAAACCCCAAACCCTATAAATCTCTAAACCCAAAGCCTTACGCCGCCCTAGTAGGGTTTAGGCATTGGCGGTTCGGGTTTACGGGGGGGCTCCTTGGGCACTTTACATATGGGTAGTTGTCAAAATTATGGTCCCTTTTGGGTACCCTAAATAATAGGTGCCGTATTATAATAAGGACCCAAAAAGGGACCATAATTTTGACAACCACCAATATGGTTTAGGGTTTAACAGGAGTTTAGGGTTTCAGGGTTTAGGGCTGCGGGAAAGAGCTTTTCGACTTTCGCTTTCGCATCGGGATTACAGGAACTGTTTCTTTCCGAATTTTAGCAGTTTGTTTATGTCGCGGGATATGTCCGAGTTCTTGTTCTGGCTTCTGTCAGCTTTTGTACGTTGTTGTTCGACTGGTTTTATGTAGGGTTGTGCCGGGCTTCGTAAGTTCAGGGCTTTTGGGGGGGAAAGAGCCGCAATGATTAACGGTGAAGGTGTCCAGGAGGATTTAGGCAGTCTTGGCTTTGAGGCACCTGTGACTACGGTTGGTGATAACAAGGAATATGGGAGCTTCCGAAAACTAGGGGTACCATACTTTGGGGCCTTTGTAATAGGGATCCTATTATTTATGGTACTATATTAGGCTCCCCTATTTTCGAAAACCCCCATATGTCCTAATTCCCATAGTGTAGGGCCCTGAATGCAGGATTTATCCCTAAACCTTGGGCCCTAATCTTTAAGAAGGAGTCCGCGCATCCTCCTTGAGTTTTGGATTCGGCAGCGAGAAGCGGCCCCTGTGTGCCCCGACCGGCACTGATCATGGCACAATCAAGTCAAAACCATTGCACTACAATGACGTTGCCAGTCTGGCATGATAGAAAAAAACTGGCCAGCCAGATCGTTGTCGAACATACAACACGGTGCACTCATTAACTAACAGCATGGGCACACTTCTTGAGAAAATGCCACTCTTCCTGCTCCCCAGCTGCCAGCAGGGCCCTAAACCCTTGCAAGCCGGCGTGGTCTCTCAATATCGCAGTCTCGCGAACGAAACAGCGAATTGGCAACTTTTCAACCAAGAATAACTTCATTCCAGCTTAATTCCAGGGTTCTACCGGGTTTTTATATATTTTCATAAGGTTGTTGTAAGTGTTTTAGGGTTTAGGGTTTTAGGGTCAGGAATGCACCTAAAGTCATTGAGGGCCCCATATTAGGACCGAATTCGCTGAACCCCACTACTCACCACAAACATCCTGATGTCAGGCTCTCCATCACGCCATGATGATGCCGTGGCCTTGGGCTGGGAAACGTGGGATCCAACCCAGACTTCTTGATCCACCGATGTAGAGGTGTAGAGTGTAGAGTTTTTGTGTAACAGGACTTCACAGGAAATTAATACACCTTCTAACTCTGTTTTTTTCTGAAAAGTGGCTTTGTTGGAGTTTATTAGGGCTCAAGGCTTTGATACGGATGGCCTTTTCGTGTTTTAAGACATCAAGGTTTTTCGCATGATACCCCTTCATAGTCCCTTACCCATGCCGCGATACAGGCTTGTTTTCCGAGCGCGTAGGCTCAAGCGTAATGTAGAGGCCTCAACAGTAAATGAGTCGGGTCGCTTTTAAAAGGATTCCCTTCAAGGGTAGGGTTTAGGGTATATTGCATTTAAGGGCTACGATCAAAAGGGATTAAGTTCTAGTATAGGGATCTTAACAATCACGCCCCCGTAGAATCATGAAGGCCCTTGGCTTCAATGTGTATACATTTTGCAAAAGCCTGAGAGAACCGTATAAATCCCATTAACTAGATTCTGCTGAGTCCCTAAACTCCTGACCGAACCATTTATTGATGCTAGGTAGGCCTTCGGGATCTCTTACGTTATCCCCCTATTGGGTCTAAGAGGACGTTTTTTTCCGAATATGTTTCTAAACCCTAAACCCCTAAACCCTCAGGCCTTAAGGGGCCAACTAGGATGCTCGTGCTCTAAGGGGCTGGGTTCGCCGAGCTCTTTCTGCCTGGATTCCGTAAAAAGCGGTGTGGGGGTTTCCGAAAATAGGGGACCCCAATATAGTACCCTAAATAGTAGGATCCTTATTATAAGGACCCCAAAATAAGGTACCCTAATTTTCAGAAACTCCCGTGTAGGTTTAGGGTTTTAGGGCTTGCTTTGGAGCAGCTGGCACCTTTCACAGGACGTGGAGCCCGTATACAACGCGGGCTACTAGACTAGGCTGTTATGGTTTAGGGTTTAGGGTTATAGACCATCCAGGCTGTAAGGAGCTGAAGCTGTACATGAGTCGCAGTCTCATTGTTTGGGACCAGTCTTCCAACAAGGCCAAAGTGTTCCACGACAGGGATGGCAAACCTTGTTTGCAGCGGGTTGCCACCTGATCAAGTCTACGCCAAGCACGAAGACCTGTGGACGTCATCGCCGAGCAGGACCCAGGGACTCCAATATCCTTTAATTTAAAAATATACCTTAAATCATATGTGGGATCCTACTACAATTTAAGGTATATTCCTTAATTAAGGGATATTGGAGTCTCTGGGGAGGAGTCAAGGAAAGAATCGGAAAGGAACTTAGGAGTGTTAGCTGCGAAGCTAACCGTTCTGGAAGAGGAGTGAGAAGTTTTCTGGAACGAGGAAGAAGAGGCGAGGCAGAAGTTCTCCGAGAGCCCTAAACCCTAAACTTTGATCCCGAAGCTCCCAGGAGGGAAATCCCCACAAACCCTACGAAACACAACTTTAGGGGTCTAGGGCTTTCGGTTTAGGGTCACGTGAAGAGCCCGTTTCTAACGCAATAAAGCCCTATGAGCGACGATCGAACAAATAATGTAATCATCCTAGAACCGTTTATAAATCCGAAAGCCCTAAACCCTATGAACCCTGACCCTTAACGCTCAACCTTACCCCTAAACCCAAACGCTAATAACCCCATAGACTTGAAACTCTTGAACCTTAAACACCACATGCCGTAGATCCTAAACCCTAAACCCTAAACCCTATATCTATACGTGCATATCAATAAATAAATAGATATAATATATATATATATATATGTATATATACATACATATATATATATATATTTATCATATATTTGTTTATATTTGTTTATTTACTTATACATATATATATATATATACATATACATGTACGGCCCAAATCCGAGAAATCAACAGACCAAGGCTTCAGGTTCGCCAGCGCTGCGGCACAGAGAAGCCCGGGAGCTCAAGGAGGAGGCTTAATTCAAATAGGGGCCTAGATAACTAGGGTTTAGGGTTTAGGGCTTTAGGGGCCTACATAAATACCTGTACTATTTGGAAGGGGGGGGGGTCCTTTGTAATGATTTGTTTAAGCCTGCTAATTAGGGGTTTAAGGTCAAGGGTTTAGGGTTTAGGGTGCTGGGCTTGCGGTTTTAGGCGCGTAAATAATTACCTATACTATTTGGGTTTAGGGTCTTAGGGGCCGAACAAATACCAATACTATTTGGGTTTAGGGTTTCAGGGGCCTAAATGAATACCAAGGTTCCTTATTGTAAGCATACTATCATATTATTATAACGGGCCCCGAAACCCTATTCAAACTATTCAGGCCCCCATATCAATCACATGTTTTATTGCGAGGTATAGGGTTCCTGTATAAGGATTCCTTTGAGGGTTAAGGGTTGCTTTATAAGGATTCCTTCAAGGGTTCGGTTTAATGTTCCGTTCCCGGTTCCCTTAAGGTTTTTAGATTAGGGTGTTGTGGACTATGGGCTGTAGTCGGAATAGTCGTCGAATTACAGACCACCAGCAGTAGCAGGAGTAGTTGCATTAGTCGTAGCCGTAGTCGTAGTCGTAGTCGTAGTCGTAGTCGTAGTCGTAGTCGTAGTCGTAGTCGTAGTCGCAGTCGTAGTAGTCGTCGTAGTAGTCGTGGTAGTCCCTAAACCCCTAAACCCCTAAACCCCAAACCCCAAACCCTAGATACTTTGATCTTCCCTAAGCCACAAAATCTCCTAAGCCCTTCCTGGACCCCAAAGAACCTACCTTGTTTGGGGTTCCTTATCGTGGTTTTCTTTACTACATCCTGAAGAAGGCAGGTTCTCTGGGGTCTAGGTTGAGCCAAAGCCCAAAAGACTGTGGCTCGTTCAAACTTCAGTCGGTCAAATTAATTCCGAAGCGCCCTAAACCCTAAACCCTATAAGCCTTTAAGCCCTAAATCCCAAACCCTAAACTTTTAAACCCTAAGCCCTAAACTTTTAAACCCTAAACCCCAAACCGTGACAGAGGCCCATTGCCGATGCGCACTGGAACGTTGCGGCCGCAACCCCGGGAGTTCAGCACGCGCGTGACGGGTGCCTGTTTTGGGGGAGCATTTAAGGGTTTAGGGTATTAAGATCTACAGATCTACATGTTTTTCGGGTTTAGGGTTTAGGGTTTCGGGTCTAGCCCTAAACCCTAAACCCTAAACCCTGATAATCATTGCCAGTTCAGGGTTGCAGGGTTCAGGGTTTGGGGGGTAGGGCCGTTTCAGAGTCCTCCAGAATGGCTTGCTGTCGCCTTGTCCAAGAGGGTGTCAGGCCAGTCGTGCTCTGCTGGGTTTAGGGTTTAGGGTTTAGGGTTTTAGGGTTCAGGGTTTAAGGTTTAGGGTTTAGGGTTTAGGGTTTAGCCTGGAGCTCTTCGGACGAAGCGGTCTAGGGTTTCGGGTTTAGGGTTCAGGGAATCGAGGCAGTGCTGATGCTCAGACTTAATGGATCGCGACTCGAATGCCACTGTGACAAGACATGAACTCGAAGAAGTGACTACTTCGTGCACTCGTTGAGCAGCGTCCCCGAGCGACAGATTGGCGCAGGCAACACCAGTAGCTTGCCAGATCTCGTCGCTCGACTTTTGACGCGAACATTTTGCCACTTCTAGCCCCCGCCGTGTTTTGCACACAGGTCTGCTTGGTTATCAGCCGAAGACCAAATTTACGAAGAACCCTAAAGCCTATAAACCCTGAGCCCTGCCTAAACCCTAAACCCGAATCTCTAAACCCTAAACCCGAAACCCTGGTGAAGACGACAGGTCAGAAGGCTGGGGTTGTTATGTGGGATCTTCCTATCGGTTTAGAGTTTAGGGTTTAGGGTTTAGGGTTGACCGAGCATAGCCAACAGTCCTGCCCTTGCACATAAGAGGCTACTGGGGAACGTAGGAGGGCTATTCTGTGGAGTATGGTTGGGACCCTTACTTAGGCACCAATGAATTCAGGTATATCGAAGATTTGGAGAAACATTGAACCTTAATGCTAGGCCATAAACCCGAAACCCTAAACCCTTAACGACCCTCAAAACCTGGAGAAACCTTGAACCTTAACCCTAAACCCTAAACCCCAAACCCTAAACCCCAAACCCTAGACTCTAATCCCTAAACC